AGGCTGTAGCTTCCTTCACATCTCTGGATGATATTTTCTTGGATCTGTCTCCAAAGGAAAAGAAAGGAAACAAATACAAAAACTAAATACATGGGACTGCATCAAATCAAAAAGATTCTGCACAGCAAAGGAAACCAACAAAGATGAAAAGATACCTACTACTGTATGGGAGAAGCTATTCACAAATATCTTATATCAGAGAAGGGGTCAGTATCCAAAATATATAAAAAACCTCTATTGCTCAATAACAAACAACCTGATTTTAAAAAATGGGCAGAGGAAAAGGGTAGTAGAGCTGGAGTTGTCTGTACTGCTTCTTGGACAAGAGAGACCATTTCGGTTTGAATATCCATGGCCTACAGTGAGTTTCTACAGTGTCATTGAGAATTTATGCAAATTAATCAATTGATGCTGATACAACAGTGATGGGTTCTGCCCTGGATGATATATGATCCTATTAAAAGTACTAGTTAGTGGCCCTCCCTGGTGGCGCAGTGGGTTAAAGCACTGCACTAAGAAGCTGAAACCACTTCCGCATGAGCTCGATCCCCGCCTGCCCCGGAGGTGACCACATGATGTGGCAGACCTCTCCTGACCCGCCCCCTGCTCCCCTCAGCAGTGTACTTCGTCGATCTGCCTGTTCTGCTCCCCACTCTGTCTCTGGTGAAGTCTTTCACCACCCCTGAGTCTCTGGCCTGTACCCCAGCTCTGTATGCACAAGTAAATAAATCTTAAAAAAAAAAAGTACTAGTTAGGTTCAAGATAGTATGCTCTGAGATAAATGAAACAAATGTTAGAACTTGCTTGAATGTCATTTGTATTCTTTCTAAGATTATATTAAATAATTCCCATTATTACCATATGTATGACCCATGAAAAATATTTTGCATCTAGGGGCACTGAAATGTCTGAAGTCCATTTGAATTCAGAGAAAATGATGGGGCAGAACAGTACTACAGTAAACACTTTTAACAGGTGTTCAACCTATTAAAACAGAGTAAGGTTGTTCATGTAAGTAGATATGGGAAGATTATCAGCAAAATTCAAGTCACTGCTATAAAAACTGATGGCAACATTCTTATAGTTTATCCATTTAAACTAATTATGCATTTTATAATGAAAAACTTGCCTTTTTAAGATTAGGTAATTTATAGTATCTTTTCTTAAAGTTCTTTTATTACTTTTCAAAACAAAACAAGAACAATTGTAGACCAGAAGGAACCTACAGGGGAGGAGGACAGAGATAGGTCAGAAGAAGCGAGAAATGTGGGGTGCTATGGTGATGATGGCTGGGGGAGGAGGAAGTAAATATTGTTGTAAACTGAACAATAATGTAAATAGATACATAAATAAAAAGAGTTCTCTTGTTACTTTTCATATAGTTTGCCTTTGAAGATAAGTACATTTTCACACCAGCTTCTCAATATTCAATAATTTTATTTTATTTATTTTTTAAGATTTTATTCGTTTATGCATACAGAACTGGGGTACAGGCCAGAGGTACAGGATGGTGAGAGAATTCACCCAAGACAAAGTGGGGAGCGAAAGAGGCAGCTCAATTAAGTATACTGCTGAGGGGAGCAGCAGGCGAGGCAGGAGAGGTCTGCTGTGCCATGTGGTCAACTCCGGGGCTGGAGATTGAACTCACACTGAAGCAGCTGTTGCCAGCTTGCAGTGCTATGCCTTAACCCATTGTGCCACCAGGGAGGACCCATTCAATAATTTTAAACAAATACATTTTAATAGAAATTCTTACATACCTTAAGTAGTTAAAATCAACTTTGTGATATTTTCCTATATTCACTGGAAGTTCCAAATAAACATGTGAAATAAATTATGCAGCATAATTTGTAAAGTTTGAATTATTGAGTACTAACTTTGATAGGAATTTACTTCCAATATTTACTTCCTATTCACCTCTTCAATATTGCTTCACTGTAAAACTTGGGTACAAACAGAATCAGATTTTTATGTTAGCAGAAAATTTCTTATAAACCAAATTCTCTAATTAGATCACTAAAGTTATATAAACATGGGACATTTTATTAGGAGATCATACATGATCTTATATAATTTTAAACCTAGGATGATACTTTGTACACAAAATAGAATGCTCTGCTATTGCTTAACACCCCATTTATTTAACCCATCAGCCTCCCAGCCTTTAGAAATGGTGTCAACATTTGCCCATTTTCTCAGGTCTAAGATGTTGATTACCTTTGATTTCTCTCACTTTCTTTCTTTTTTTTTTAAAAAGATTTATTTATTTGTGCATACATAACTGGGGTACAGTACAGAGGTGCAGGGGCAGTGAGAGGATTCACTAGGAACAGAAAGGGAAGAACAGGAAGGTCGACGAAGTACACTGCTGAGGGGAGCAGCGGGCGGGTCAGGAGAGGTCTGCCACGCCATGTGGTCACCTCCGGGGCAGGCGGGAATCGAACTCATGCGGAAGTGGCTTTAGCTTCTTAGTGCTGTGCTTTAGCCCTCTGTGCCACCAGGGAGGGCCAATTTCTCTCACTGTCATATGATCAGTGTTCTCTACAGATTCTATTTTCCAAATGTATTCTAGTCTCCTTTCACCATATTCACAGCTATTATTATAATATGCTATTAAATTTTTTAAAAAAGATTTCTTTACTTATGCATACAGCACTGGGGTACAGGCCAGAGGTGCAGAGGTGGTGAGAGGCTTCACGAGAGACAGTGGGAGCAGAACAGGCAGATTGACACTGCTGAGGGGAGCAGCAGGTGGGTCAGGAGAGGTCTGCCGCACCATGTGGCCCACTCCCTGGCTGGGATGGAACTTATGCTTAGGTGGCTGCGGCTAGCTTCATAGTGCTGTGCTTTAACCTGTTGTGCCACCAGGGAGGGTCCTAATAATGCTATTTTAATCAAGATTCATCTTTTGTATTTACCCCAGTACCATCCCTTGTCCCATTTCTTCCTTCTTAATATCAGAGCCCTCAGAATGTTTATGAACATTTTTTGAAATACTTATAAACAGTTTTTGAAAGTAACTGATGCTATCAAATTGTCTGCTATGTTAGTATCCAGTATCTGTCTGTTATGTAAATGTCCAGTATTTGTTTTATTTTGTTGCATGTAATTCTCTCAGATACTATCCATTTTGTTGAAAATGGCTACATTTCACCCTTTCTTTTGGCTACATAATACTCCATGTTGTGTATTTACCACATCTTCCTGATCCAATAGTCTGTCAATGGACATATAAAGTGCTCCCACATCCTGTAAATAATGTTGCTGTGAACATTGTGGAACATAGTGTTTGTTGTTGATGATGGTTTTATATTAAATGGCTGTTTTCCCAAGAGTGTGACTGTTGGGTTGGATAATATTTCATTTATTCATTGCTTTAAGGTAAATTCAGATGGCTTTCCATAATAGTAGCAGCAGTTCATATTCCCACTACCCGTGTAACAGGACTTCTTTTTCTCTGCATGCATGGTCTCCAACACTTTTTTTGGGGGTCTTCTTAGTGTGTGCCATTCTCACAGGCATGAGATGGTATCTCATAGTTTTAACCTGTAACTCTCTTATTAGGAGTGGTAATGAACATTTTTGCATGTCTTATTACTTTAGCTAATTGTATGCGTGTGAAAAGGTATTATTTACAAGTCATTATTTCATAATCAGTTTTTTAAAGTTCAGTGTGTTTACATTTATTTCATACATATTTTGTGTTTAAAATATACATTCTGCCCATTCTTTGATGTTCGAAATTGCATTTACTTCCTTACTCTTTTCTCTTCCTAAATTATTAGCAGTAATCTCATTCAAGTCTACTTGCCCTCTTGATATTTTTGCCACACTCTCATGTATGTATGCAGGCACACACTCTACTTCTCCTAATTAATGCAGACACTTCCTTAGTGAATGACTCGGCATGTTTGAAGACCTAACCGTCACTTTGGGGAACTGATTTTAGTAGTCAGTGTATTTTCAATGGTTAGCTCACCTCACAGGCTACACAAGATTCAAATTTCTTCTAGTTTATTTTTTTAGTCCAGCTTGGTTATAAGCATTCAGGTATATGTTGGGATAGGATTTTAAAACCTGTGTAATTTAGCTTTAGAATGAGGAGATTCACAATACTATAAGAAACTTCTATTATTCAAAAGTAAATGAAGATTAGTTTACAGAATGAAATTTGTAACTAAATTTCATTTACAGAATGAATTTTGTTTAAGCAGTGGTTGCTGCTGAGAAAGTCATTATTATTATTGATGATGAAAAGAGGAAGACCTGGGGATCACAGAATGATAATGTGTTGTGGAATTTGGACAGTGTATGAACTGTGTTTCCTTATGAAAATATCTATTGCCACATGATGTACCTCAGTTATTAAAAGTACATAAGAATTGAGTTACCATAAGAGATTTTTTTGATGTATCCTGGTTGTAGGTTGCACTTGACTCCAATCTGAACCCCACTTGGAATTACTAGTCACTAGTGGTATCTCCTCAGATCTGGCTGAAGCTTGATAGGGAAACAACTGATTTTGATTTCTCTGGTGACCAAAGAACAAAGCAAGTAGTTATAATGGTTTGTCCTGATGTGACAGTATTGCTTCCTGTCTTAGGTTGTATTTTTGCATCTAGTAACAGTGTATACATTTGCCTAAATTTCTCACTTCATGCTAGAGGGAAGCTGTGAAAGTATGTTTGAAAACGCTTTATTACACCTTATTAAATGATAAAACTTACTTTTGTATTGCCTTTCAGGATGAAAGCCATCGAGAGTCCCAACAAAGATGATGACACTCAGTGGCTGACCTATTGGGTAGTGTATGGTGTGTTCAGCATTGCCGAGTTCTTCTCTGACCTCTTCCTGTCTTGGTTTCCTTTCTATTACATGCTGAAGGTATGCTGACTTCTTCTGAACTGCTGTTTCCTTTCATCTATGTATTTGGTTTGATTTTTACAACTAAAATAAATTTCAGAACCTATATGCCAGGAATAAGGAACAAATGCTTGAATATTTCACACATGTGGCTATGGCTTAGGTTACAAACAAGGAGACAAGATTCAATATGTGTAACTTTTGTATACAGTGCTGGAAAAAGCCAAAGCAATTGTATTTTCATGGTGTGTATGATAAGAACAAAGGATGTAAATACCATGACTAGCACAGGTATTGCTGTGGTTTGCTGTTGGCAAAGTTCTCTACATTATGTTGATATGGAAACATTGCAGATTTTGCAAAGGCACTGGCTGATTATTCACAATGGTGAACAGGAGTCATTCTTTTCAGAAGAAAAAAAAAACTTATTTCTTATGTAGGTTTGGAGAAAGAAGATGTGAACTGGGCTGTCTGAGCAAATGATTTTAATAAATTTAGTAAATGCATAGCCAGATGTCAGCCCTGCCACACCTTGAATTTGCAGAGGACTTGCCATAGTTACACCCATGTAGAGGAGAGGAGTAGAGAGTTGAGATTCACTTTTAACAGGACCTCTGTCAACTGAGGACTTGCACCAGAGCAATTAAGAGTGAGAGAACTCACATATTCTGGTAAATAGAGTGGTTCCTTTCTCTAGATGAGACAAAATGGCTTCAGTTGTTGCCTCAGGTGTCTTCTGTGGGAGAGACCCTGCTTCCTGTTAATTGTGAAGGATGTAAATAGTCCCTCAGGCTTACAGAGATGTTCCAAGCCAAAGAGGTTGGTGAGTTCAGACCTTATAAACTCTGGGTTTCTTCCCTTTGTACTTTATTTTTTAAAAAAGATTTATTTC